TATAATAAATAAGTAAAAATAATATATTTTAATAATTAGTATTTTTTTTAAAAAATATAGTTAAGTTATAACTTAAAAAGTAAAAGCGTAGCACTAATAAAGTATAATATAAGCAATTAATACCCGGGTATAATACTTTTACTACCCGGGTATAACTTTTACCAATTCTAATTCGCTTAATACTTTCTTAACCTATAGGTACTTCTAAGCACAAACAGCGCAACTTCTTCTCCTAACAGCTCTTAAAATGAACCCAAAACTGGTTGATCGCAAACGATTGCAGGTGCAACTAGTCTCTGGCTTGATCTCTGTCGACACCTATTATATTCCCCTCTTTAACAAGCATTGAAAGCTGCTTGTCCTTATACTACATCAAGATGCTGGTTTAGCTCACGGTTTGTGAGACGGTTTCTTGAGCTGTTGTTTATGCTCTTTGGTTGCGGAGTAGGTAGCCCTTTGATTGCTGTGTTGCAGCTGAGGCAAAATCAACAAATATACGGGCGCCGGATGCAACCATGAATGCCTTGTCAAAGCAATTGCACAGGGAGTTCCTCAGCCCAGGTCGAAGAAGGTGATCTAGTCTAGGTACTTGTCGCAGCGTGGCAGAATTCAAAATCTGTTAACAAGAAAATTGCGACCAATCAGAGGTGGCAAAAGTCATGCCCGGATAAAAGTCATGCCTGGGTAGTAAAAGTGTTATGCCCGGGTATCAATTGCCATAATATAGCGTAATAAGCTTTACCGCTTTATGTGGGGTTAACCACCAGCTGGCCCTATTTTAGGCTAATAAAAGCCTGTAAAAAGTGTAACGCCCCTAAAATGTAGCGCCCGTATCAATTTAGTATAGCGTCCCTATTAATTGCCGACTGAAAACTGGATTACCGAGGTCGTTCGCATAAAATAGAGGACACCGAAGACCCCCAAGTCCTCTTGGACGACATTCTGCTTTTACAGTTGCTTAGGGAATTGTGGAACACATTTATTCCTAAGCATTGTATCTATAATCACCATGTCCACAGGCAAGAAGTTGCTTCTGGCTGCTAAGCTTGGACGTTTTGCCGAGGTCCAGAGTCTGCTAGACGAAGGGGTTGATCCAAACGCCAAGGACAGCTCCGGATCGACCCCTTTGCATATCGCAGCGAAGGGAGAAAGTCCTGAGGTGGTAGAGCTGCTTCTCGAACACGGGGCTAATTCAAATACCAAGGAAGAATCTGGACGAACTCCTCTACACTATGCTGCTCAGAACACACGAGATGAAATAGCACAGATTCTTCTTGATTACTGGGCAGATCCGAAGATTACAGATAAAGTTGGATCTACACCACTACACTACGCGGCCACACACGGAAATCCTGAGATCATAAGGCTGCTTCTTGAAAGTGGTGCCAATCCCAATGCTCAAGATGAATCGGGACTGACACCCATACACTACGCGGCTAAACACGGAGAACCAGACAGTGTAGGATTACTACTGAAAAAGGGAGCCGACCCGAAAGTTAAAGATCGGTCTGGTTCAACGCCTCTATTCTATGCAGCCGCGAAGAATGTACTTGAGCTTCTGCTTGGCCGAAGAAACATCTCGGGAATGGAAACAGACGCAAAGGGTAAACAGGTACGATGTTAATAAGTGCTTGTCCTTCTTATCGTATGATTTTCCTGAGCTGTTAAACTGACAGGCATTAAGATGAGCTTGACACCAATGTACCATATTTCAATCAATGGGAATCATCTCGACGAGTCAATCAAACCAGCCACAGACGCATCAGAGACCAACTACATACTGGTTCAGACACGAATGCAGCTTAATGAGCCAGAGAGGCAATATCTCGTTAATGCTGGCCTTATTTTTCACGACTACGTCTCAAAGAATACGTACCTATGCGGCTACCGTGACGAGGACCTAGACAAGATTCGTCAATTGGACAGGGTTGTCTTTGTCGATGCCTATCGCAAAGATTTCAAGATTGCATCAGGTCTCAAGAGTTCAAAGGCGAACATTGATCGTGACGTAAAAGTAAATGTAATCTTTCACGATGGCATTAATTCGTCACGCGCTAGGAGTTTACCATCTGAGATCTTGGAATTAGAAGATGTTAAACTTGACTATACAAACATACCATACAAAGCCCAAATCACTATCCCGAGGGAGAAACTAGAACCTTTAGCTGGAATTGACGAAGTACGCCTGATTGAGGAGGTGGGAGAAATCAAACCACGTAACAACCAAGCACGACTTATAGTAGGGCTCGATGTCGAGAAAGAATCTGATGTAATGACAGACCAAAAACGTTATGAGGGAGAGGGTCAGGTGATTGCAATCTCAGATACTGGGCTTGGCACAGGACATAGAGAGAGTAACCACTATGCGTTCGAAGACCGCATCCTGGCGTTATATGCCATGAATGGCACTACTTTGGACCCTATTGGCCATGGCACTCATGTTTGCGGCTCTGCTGTTGGGAATGCTGCAATGAACAATGGCGTCCACATCAGAGGTACTGCTCCAAAGTCGCAACTAGTTATGCAGAGCCTATGGCATAGTGGCAGTGAGCGCCTTAATGCACCCCGAGATCTTTACCAACTATTTAATATGCCATATACACATCCGGATCAGAAAGTACGGGTACACTCCAATTCTTGGAATCAAGTCATGGTCGATGGCCAGCTCCCGTATACTTCGCGCGCAGAAGACATTGACACCTTTGTCTGGAAGCATAAAGATATGGTAATATGTTGGGCTGCTGGGAATGACGCTACCTTTCATCACGCCATGGGAAGGGCCAACGAGGGCCAGATTGGAGCTGAGGCCGCCGCTAAAAATTGCATCACCATTGGGGCGTGCGAGAATAGGCGGCCAGACATGCAAATAACTTACGATGACATTGACAAGGCCCAGTTCCCTGATTCTATCAAATATCAGCGTGTTGCTAGAGACCCGTCCCTCGTTGCCGCCTTCAGTAGTCGTGGTCCTACCAGTCAAGATGGTCTTTACAAGACACGTATCAAACCTGACATTGTTGCACCGGGCACGCTCATCATATCAGCCCACGCATGCATACGCTCGACCACCGGGAGCGGGCTTGAAAAGTGTCACCTCCATGACGAGGACAACCGCTGGTGTTACGATTCCGGAACTAGTATGTCTACGCCGTTGGTAGCTGGATGCGCAGCCGTCTTGCGACAGGTACTCATACCCAAACCTGAATTCAACCAGGCAAGTGGATGTGAGTACCCAAGTGCGGCACTGATCAAGGCGATTCTTATTAACGGTGCCGATATCGTATCCGATCCGAACATCCCGCCCGTGACGCCCAACGTCCACTCGGGGTTTGGTCGCGTAAATATGGCTAAATCTATGACGATTGCCTGTGGCAAGGACGGAACAGGCTTTAAGGAAGAAGAGCTAAGCAATGATACCGAAAAGATTAAGCAACTCATCAATCTCAGGGCAAATCATGCCTGCAATACCATAAAGGCCACACTCACATGGTCGGATTTCCCAGGAGATGCGCTTAAAAATCGCCTTCGTTTGGAGTTGAGACACTCCTCCTTCCTCAACCCAAAATCTTCAGATCACCAGTATAACAATGTCCAACAGGTTTTATGGAAGAACCTCCCTCCTGGCAACATCGCCATTACCGTGGGAATTATTAGAAAGCTTTTTAGGTCCCCACAGCCGTTTGCCGTCGTTTGGCATCTTTATAGCGAAAAAGGCAAGGACTCAGCTAAAACATGCTCGTGGCTTTAACTAGCATAATTGTAGCTAACTCGACGAGTCAATACTTTTCTTTACCTAATACCATTATTAAATTCTTAGATAAGAGCCGTGGCCCCTCGTACAAGCCAGCCATTACTTGATCTGGCTTGTGGATTTGAAGGATTGAGCTATGCGTCGGGTCACTTATCAGCTCATCAAGACAGGTCTTCCAACTATTGAGGCATATTTTCAATTCGCACTTTTTGGGTAATACTGAAAGGCCTCATGTATATATACTGATAAAACTTTATGTTGTGGGGACACAGACTGGGAAGTTATGCGAGTCAAGAAAACAATCACTCTTGTGGTCTGACAGGGACCGAGGTGACTTTAAGGAGCTACTTTAAGTAATAAAATCACAGATTTAACTTAAAAACACAGCTATAAATAAGAAGAATTCTCCTATAAACTACTATATAAAATTTTATAAAAAAGGGATTTATATACTTATTATAATTAATTTAAATAAGGTTCTTAAACTAATAAGTATAAGGGTAAAAATTAAAAAAATTTATAAAATAATATATTTATATTATAAAAGG